TAAACCCCTTAAATCAGATTATTCTTTTCTGTCGTTACCTAAAATTGCAATGTAATTGCTTTACAATTAAAGTGACACTAGACTCAGGCATTATATCTTAAAAATGCATTCAAGTACCCTAACGTACCAAGTACCCTAACGAACCAAGTACCCTAACGACTAACTACAATCTCAATACAAATTAGCTATCACAGGCGTGAGCTTGGAGTGTTGACTGTGTTCTACTTTTGCGGTCTGAAATGTGAGATACATTTTTTTTAAAGTGCTTATCTTCAAATGAATAGCGCTTAAAAGTTCACATCATGTCTAAGCTGACATTGACTGCACTGTTAAGCTGTGTGTTCAGCTTGTCAATGAAGGTGAAAAAGCGGTCTATAAAAGGCTTGATGTATGACGTGTCTTGACTGAAAATCAGTGTGCTCACCTCTTTGCAACAAGTGGAGTTTTGCAGCGAATTGTATATAAGCAATTGCAGACATCATCTCTATGGCATTTAGCACCTTGTAAATTCCATAAAAAATAATGAAGATCTTGCAGTGACTCCAATATCAAAAAAACATTTTTAATCAGTGATAAAGGCTCTAGAACACATTTTGTAGAGTATTAAGTTGCAAAGTTCTGTAATGAATATAGGCTTTACCTGAGAATTCTAGGGCTTTATTCAAATCAAATACTTAAACTTGCCAAGGACCACAAAAGTGTTAGTAGTATGTGCCCTAGGCAAAAAAATAAAATTGGCATGCCTCTGTAAAACCCTGAACCTAGAAACACCCCTCTTAAATGGTTGCAACAAATCTGATGCAACTGTAACTTCTGATTTTATCTGACAGTGAATAAGTATATAGTAATCTATAGCAATACTTATTTATATATTTTAGGAGAGCACAAACTGCCTTGAAAAACTGGCTTTATTATACATCATACAATTTTTAGAGACCATGTCAGAATGAACAGGCTGCTTTAGTCTAGCCCTAAAACCATTCCTTGTTGCCCTTCGTGTGACTCTCTGTGCATTGCTTTCTATGGATTTTCCATTCTCTTCTTTGTAATTATGTATAATGCTAGTTGAATTTGAGTTCAGCAATTGACGAATGAGGAAAGGGCTGTAAACAATGTAAAAATAATGCGTAATCAGTTAAAGGTTTTAACCTTGGTAATCAATCCTGTTTGGGATTTATTTTGTTTTTAATTTTTTTGCCTACAGAATCCTTTTAACAATCTTGGCCATAGGCCTGATTATCCCCCTATTTGAAATAATATAGTGTGTATTATGTGTACCTGAGGTGGTGTTTGTTTTTCTATTCTTTTCACCAATACAGCTGTACCTGTGATAATATTCTCTAAAATGCATTAAACAAGCATATTAAAAATGTATACTAAAAATATCCAATTAGAGTGGTTGGGCCATTAGCTGGCAAAGAATCTACATAACTTTTTTCCACCATTTGTCCCCTGTTGACCATTTGAATAGTTGTGTTATTGCTGCTATCTCAGTGTTTTCTTGCCAAGATACGGCTATGGGAGTACATTACTAGGCCATTTGTTCGCATAGGAAGATTAGACAGACACCAATTAAAATACCAGTTTGTTTTCGGACTGTGGGAGGATAAAACTCAGTGAAGGGATATAGACTTTACGAAGAGTGCAGCTCGTAGAGTCAAAGCCAGGATCCCATTGCTACTATAAATTGCTAACCACAAAGGTGGGTCATGCTGGCCCACAAGGTATTGAGATGAAGCTAGCTTCAAATTTTACCCTCTCCAAAACAGAAAGGTCTTTTAAGGTATTTGAAAACATACACACATACCTCCTCAGAAATCCTTTCTGTTTTTGGGGAGGGTTAATGACATAAATTTGCCTGGTATCAAATAAGTATAGGTCCATTTTAAGTCAAAGTAGCAGGTTCGTGTTTTTGTATGGAACATAAGGTATCTTACTTTCTCATTGCTCCACCACCAGCCTGCCTCAGTATCCAGTATAAGGTTTCCTTACAATCTAAAGTATAACGTTGTCTGGAAACTTTCTAAACTCCACATGACAGCACTGAGGCTGGGGAATAGTTGCTCAGGCACCAATACTGCATTGTGGGGAGGCAGGGACAGCTTATATTGTTTCTCTATTTCCTGGTCAGGCAGGGAGTAAGCAGAATGTTCGTTTATGTCCTACACAAAGTGAAATGAACCTGTTTGAATAGGGTATAGTTTCACTATATGGCTCAATCCTTGTTATACAGAATTGCCAGAAAAAGCATGTGGTCCTTTATTCTTTATATGGGCATTTTAAGAATGTCTCTTAAAGAGACCCTATCAGACCATTTCAACAAAATTCTTCCCATAACTTGCCTGTAAACGCCTCCTTTTCTAGACAGCCAAAAGTCCTGAGACTGCTGCTGGGTGCCACCATCTTGGATTTAATGTGAGAAGACTTAAAGGAGAACTATGGGGTTAAGGCTTTTCCCCATAGTTCTCAGGGTAACGGGAGGACACAAATTAGCGTCCTGCCGTCACCTTAGGCTCAGTCAGCTCGCGGTATACTAAGACGCCGCAGCTGAAGCGGATCCCGACAATTATGTCTGGATCCGCCCAGCTGCGTGACTGACAGCTGGCTCTGCTTACCTAGAGGCAGAGCCAGCTGTACCCTCCCCCGTCCATTCTGCCAGTCAGCGCTATCGGAGCGGGGAGGGGGGAATCCAGCCCCTCCCTGGTCACGGGAGCCGTGACAGGATCGAGAGGTGAGGGAACCCGGTATGTGTTCGCTCACCTCCCGATCTACTGAGCCGACCTGTGACAGTCTCATTGTCACAGGTCGGCTAGAACTATGAGGTGAGTAAAAAGCACTCACCTCATAGTTCTCCTTTAAAGCTGTGATTCAAGTGACAGTCTGTGGCCTTCCCTTCCGTCCTCTCCCACAGGCTACCTAAAAGGTTAAGTAGGGAGGGGCTTTCCAGTATAGACAATAATTAGACATTCCCAGAAGAGGAGAGGGCTCTGCAAGGGAAATGACTAGCCAATGTTTCTAGCACATTCAGAGACGCATTGTAAGTGAATATAAATATAGAAAAGAAAAGCACTGAACAAGTGAATTGCGATCAGTTATTTTTTTTCCCATAGTAAAGTTTGGGTGCAGTAAAAATGTGTCTTAGGAGGATACTGACCAATGGTCTTGATGTAGAACACATCCAAACTGCTTCATGCAGGAGCTTAGATGTGCTCTATCACAGCTCACTGCACGTACCTGCTCATAGCTCACCTGTATCCATCTTTTTATGTAATCCAAATGTCATGTTGCAGAATTCATTCCATTCCCACTCCACAGCATTGGAAACTATGTTAAATAGAACTATAAAATGAACTTGTGTATTACGCTTACATTGGATTTTCTTATAACCTATACACCCTCTCTGACCCTGGATATGCTCTATATGCGGATTCTGACTTTGCACACCCTAGCCTAACAATGCACTACATGTGCCTTTCCAGTGGAGCGCAAAATGATTGCATTGCATTGTCTACATCCACCTTTACAATTAATTAATATAACCTGGCTACTCACTAGATACTAACTGATTTGCAACT